GGAAAATCCGGATTTTCGAAGTATTGATCCTTTTTGGGTGGTTTCTTAACTTTAGAAGCGTTCTAAGGTTCCTAATCTGCGTATTTTCAAGCCATATGCTTTAGATTTGAATGAAAATATTTTATATATCGCCCCAATACGATGATACGTTTTTAATTGTCACTTCTAACATAAAAATTCAGTTTTATGATAATTTCCACTTTCTACGGTTTTAAATTAATATAATCTTAATTTTTCCAGTTGAAAAGCTTCGAAATTGTTTTAACCTAAAAATTTTACGTTTTAAAAACAGGTGGCTTTCTTTTAAGAATATTATATAAATATCTTTTGGCATCTTTTATGAGCCAATTTCGAAAATCCCGAATTTTCCAACCAATTAGGCGATGAAAATACAGACAAAAATGCTTTACAATATAACCGAGTCCTCGCAGCTCTCCAGATTCGATAAACTCGGCTTCGGGGACGTCATGCTGGCGAAGTCGGACTAAAAACCCGATTTACATATCGTAATCGATTAGGGTACCGTTTTGACAACCAGTGGAATGTATTCTTGGTGTTGAAGGGAGCAATTTGATGGGGAAGACTTGATGTAGCCGTTGTTCGGGTTACCTGAAGATTGAGAGGTATAAATCACAAGCTTTCGCGCCAAAAAATCGTAAATTAATGCACACTAATGATGGATGGCGAGATAGCCATCTGTCGAGTCAAACATTTTCTATTTACCTTCCGGCCATTTTGCAGATTTTTTTCAAAGGTAAAGGTTCAAGGCTCATTAAAGATTTTCTTTAGCACTCTCATGTTTTTGACCAAAAAAATGCTTAAACGAAGTGAATGAAATATGAACTTGATGAAATTAGACTAACTAATTATATAAGGACACTAAACGTGTTTTTCTGAGCTGTTATTGCGATACTCCGAAGTTTTCTACCATCCAAAACCGACCATTCCCGTTCATCAAAACGGGCGCCGAGTCCCGCGTCTTTAGCGTCGACGTGTACCCAGTTCTTGAGGATCGGTGATCACGATCCCGGCGATGAGTTTGGTGAAGCTGAAACCGAAGTTTCGATACTTTTTAGAGTTTAGTCCCCAGCTAATTTGTAAGCAATTTGATGAGAATATGACTCAGACCTTTTTCTGGGATTTGGCCTCAAAAAAACCTGTCCCATTCCCTCCTTTTAAGAAATCTAAACTCCCGCCGCGCTGACCACAGGAATTGTAGCCGTTTTTAGAGGGGGCAGGTGGTACCGGACTCTTTTCGGGTTCACAGAAACCAGCTTCCTGGTCCCCGGAAAGGTCGGTTTTTGAGATGTAAATATATTTTTGGGATTTGTAGCTACGCCTACATTAGCTAAATATGGCACGCAAAACTTTTTTTGAGACAAACCTGTCGATTCAGCAACCCGTAGAGCACGAAATTGCTGGCGGAATTGACGTATGGCAGCGCGTGAACGCCGTACATGAAGTAGATGAATGATAGGGTGGGTGGGTCGGTATTGCTCGTCGCCAACTCCAAGTACAGCGAGTAAAGCACCGAGATCCAGTAGGGTGTCCTGAAACGGCAATTTTGTGGTATTTTTCTGGGCTTTTCTTTGGAAGACTACGTTTTTTACTCTGCCTCTACCCTCTACTCTGCCAAATTAGAATTTGTCGAGCAACAAGATTTTTTCAGGCTTTGTAAATACACAATTTACAATTATATTAATTACATTAATTTTACAATTTAGCTATCAACATACGCTTCTTACCTACGTTGGCTAGCAATGCTACGTTTAGTCCGTAGCTACGTTTTTTACGAATCGACGCGCGTTTGGCTAGGTAGAATACCTTTGTTACCTGCACCACGTTTACTATGGGATGCCACGTGACTACGCTGCGCTTCCTACGTACCTTACCTTTTTTACGTAAGCGGCGCTTGCTACGTACACCCGCAGTACGTACATTTGGTCTACTACGCACGCTATATTTACCACATACGTTACGCTTCCTATATTTAAAACGAAGCGACGTGCGTTTTTCTACATCTGTACGTTTTCTACTGACGCTATATTTGATGTGTACGTAAGGTTGCTACGACGTGACGCCTGCTAGCAGGGCTACGTTTGCTACGCTTTACGCCCGATTTCTCTCCAAAGCCCTATTAATGTGCAAGTCACCGTAATTTACGCGCGATCTCTCCTTTTCCATCTTTCAAATTCCGAAGAGTACCATGGTTTCGAAAATTTTTTTTCAGGTAATTCGCTTTAATGACTGTATTTTCAAGCGGCAGTTTTTGCGGATTTTCGACTCCAAATTGATCAACCAAAGGAATTAGGAATTTGATTTCCAAGGAAAATAAGCTTATTGGCGCATCTCAATCGAATTTAAGATAAATTTTGTTGCATTACGATTTTCTGACCATTCTACTTTTTGGCCTTTGATTCCCCTACCTTATGACTCACAAATACTTTCCTTTCAAAACAAAATATTGCAATAGTGCCCCATTTCTATTCATCAACTCCTATTACAATTAACCACACACAAATGCGCGACGCGTTGAAGAGTCAGAGCCCAAACCCAAATTAATTATTTGGGCTGGTTTTTTTGGGGGGTTGTGTGCATGGATAATAGATCCATTTTCCGTTTTCTCAGCTTTTGATCCACTGCTAATCCCAATTCTCATTTGGATGTCGGCTGTTGGAAATGGTGACGAGCCAAGGAGAAGTGTAAACAATGGATTTGAATAGGGCTGAATTGGTTTTTTTTTAACTCAAGGTATAGGAATTTCAATTTCTGCCAAGCAAGAGCTGGAAAGGATTAGAATAAATTGAGAATCGATGAAGCATGCAGGTGATTGGAAGACCAAAGATTAGGCATGGATTTTGAGGCTTGAGTTGCGTTTCACCAACTGTTATTTAGCTGAGCTTGTAGAATCAATTTAATTTTATGACATTGTAATTTTTTAGAATTTTAGACGAACTAAACTTAAAAATTTAAAATCCACATAACCCGGGCAAAAACTATAATTTTGCAACATTTTTAAACTCGAAAAAGTATGTTGTATGTTGTAAAAATATAAAATTTTAAACTGCGGAAACGAAACACATCTTTCCACCCACCAACAAATAAAGTGGAAGCCGCAAATGGCGAGTGTGTAGACGGCAATCCTCATGATCGGAATCCGCTCCTCCAACTTTTTGCGTCTCTGCCCAAGGCTCTAAAATTATCATAATTTTTTCTCTTAATTTTTGTCTGATGTAGGCGGTGAATTTCTGTTCGGTGGTGTATCTCGGATTAATTTAGGTATGCTACTACTGAAATTGAGAATATGAGAACAAAAGATCTGGGGGATTAGCGCCAATTCCAGAGAACAAAATATTTGGGCTGACAAGGGATGCATTATCCCAAAAAATAATAAAAACTGTACCTGCCGAACTGCCCTGGACTGCTTGAAGAGTTGATACAACATCTCGTAGTAGAAGTAGATCATCATCAACAACGGGACAAGGTATGCCTAGAAAAATTGACTCTATGATCTGAACAAAAACCACTATAGAATTCCATGGGTTTTTCTGTAACAAACTTACGAAGAAGAAGCAGAAGAGCGTGAACAGGATAAACAACGAATCCCCGAGATCATCTACACATTTGTAGAGGTGTAGCCGGGTGATGGATTTCCCTGCCATATCGTAGCTCTCGTGCACGATGAGTTCCTGGAAAAAAACGACGTAACGAAACCGCACCAGCCGTTTTGTGAGCAACAGTAGCACGAAACAGCTCGTGTTCTTTGACCCAAAAACTTGTTTGACAAAATGGCCAATTCTACCCACTACGTTGCGCAACTAATAAAGGACGATGCGTTTTTCGCAGCGTGATTAGCACACTGAATCCAATTCTCCCTGAAGTTTTTTGCTACAAAAACCCGTTAAATCCACGCTCTCGAAAAAATTCCAGAGGTAGCAACACGAAAAGTTGCCTTTGGGCATAAAACCCCTAACATAAATTAGCGGAAAGCGGCTCCCCTACCATTGACCTGAGCGTGATCTCTATCTCTTTTTTAGCGTGTCTTAACCGGATGGCTTTTAGCCAATTGTGATCCGTCGGATCTGGTATGATCAGCGCGGGCTTTTCCTATTCTTTCCCTCGATATTTAAATTTAAACATTCATATTTCCCTCAGATCCCTATACCAAAATTCACCCTCGATGGATTGGTTGTGGCGTGTACCTCGTCGTGTGTATGTGTGAGCAATCGCTATACCTATGGCCAGGCCGGCGGGTCCAATTATTCGCATCAAAATGAATGGGGCCGCCGGGGGTCATCAATAGCCTCGGGGCCACAAAACCCCAGAAAAAGAGAGGGCCCCATTTCTGAACCTCAATTTCTTCTTCTTGCCCCGCGATACCTATTTGGTTTCCGGCACTCTCGCCTCGCCGTCGATTCTATCTAATCCATTGCAGTGCAAAAACTAGCGGGTGTATAATTGGACTACCCCAAGCGGGGAGGATCACATCATAATTTTCATTCAGTGGAAGAGAACGTTATTTTTTGTTGAGAAATTTGTATACGTGTTCTTTTGCAACGTCTAGACGGGAATAATTGGGTGAGAAAACAAGGGAAGCTTACGGGAACCTGATTTTTGGAACGTAATTAGTACCAAACGTCGTAGAAAGCAAAAATGGAAAAGGACACGTCTAAATAAAAATAGATGAACCTTCTCAAGATTAACTCGGACATTTTGAATCGGCTTAAAATTCTGATTAAGGAGGCATGGAAACGCACGATTGGGTTTCCTGAGTGTGAACAGCTACGTGACGCTCCAAATGACTCGGTAATCATTACAAAAAACGCAAAATGGAAACAGGCTAACATGGAACTACGAGGTCGCAAAATAAAAATTTGATTCCCAAATTAAAGGAGCCATGAAGATTGAAAATCGACCCCCTGGTGATTAGGGCTCGACAGCTACATGCGACGCGAAATTACGCACGAGACTCCTTTTAAGCGTAATTTGGCTTTGGGCGTAATGAGAAAAGACAGACCGTTGCTATATCTATCATCCAGGCCTATTTAATAACCAAGAAACGTATGGATACACAACAGTTCCCCTTACCTTCGAATGCGCAAAAATTAGGATCGGCGACAACATCAAGCAGGTCAATCCGAACATTGACGACAGCATTAGTGTGACGATTTTCTGGCTTCGCATCGTTAACTGAAAGAAGTAACGTTCTTCTCGCTTCTAAAAACTATTTCGATGGAATATCATGCAATTCGTCTTCCGTAGCTTTTCAACGTACCCTCAATGGATGGCACACTGCACAGTATCTGTCCAAGCTGAAGGCGACTAGGATGAAGGTCGAGAAGATTTTTCCAATGTGTTCCAATAGCCGAAAGAGTTTACACGCAAATGTGCCAAACATCCAGAATCCGAGGAGCTGGAAAATAGTTGAATTTATCGGGTTTTTAAGCTAAACTTAACTTAACGCGCCGTTTCAAGTAGTCATCACTTAGTCATGACTCAATAATCATGAATCTTTAGGCTTACCTGATCGATGATAGTCATTGGTAGTGGCAACATCGAAAGAAAGTCGACAATACACAAGATGCAGATGTAGGCGAGGGTCATGTTGTGTTTTGCTCTGAAAGTAAGGTATAAATTTGATGTATATTTTTGACTCGTATTCTAGCGCTTTGAAATGGGCTGTTTAGTGCAAGAACCGACCCCCTGCGCTTACTAGGTATAGACAACCCCGATTTGAGCCACAAGCATCAGAATTTTAATTTTCGTCCAATCCCAGTTGTGAAATGGGTAGTTATTGGGGTATCTCGTAGCTGGCGAGACCTAGTCAAATTATCGGGTTGATTATTGCGCTTCCTAACCTCTTTAAAACGAAACCAATGTTATTTCCCACCAAGCTTTTGGCTCTCAATGATGATTCCCTGTCACGATTTCGAAAATCACCATTTCGAAAATCACCATTTCGAAAATCACCATTTCGAAAAATCACCATTTCGAAAATCACCATTTCGAAAATCACCATTTCGAAAAGACACCATTTCGAAAAGACACCATTTCGAAAATCACCATTTCGAAAAGTCACGATTTCGAAAAACACGATTTCGAAAAACACCATTTCGAAAAAATCCCCAGTTCGAAAAGACCCGTTCTTCAAACCGGCATAAAAATGCAGTGTCGAAAAACCACGGTTTTTCTCGGATATGACTAGTGATGTAATAGAAATTGTTTTAGTGGTGTCTATGATGAAATTAATCATATCTCCAGTGGAAAAATAGACCCCGAACCTCAAACCAGCCAACGAAAATCATTTTTTCTGCGACTGGGAAATGGGATATTGCTAAATCCTGTGTTTCCCAAATGGTAATTTTCGAAATGGTGATTTTCGAAATGGTGATTTTCGAAATCGTGACCGCCAACCCTCAATGAGCATTGTTGCCATTCCCTCGCTACGACACGATTGTTATTTCTTCTCTTTCTTTCGCTCTCTCTCTCTCTCTCTCTCTCTCTCTCTCTCTCTGTCTCTCTCTTTCTCGCTCTCTGCCTATTTGTCTGTCTAGGCATAATCTCAATTATTCAACGTACCACGCCACAAGCTAAAACCCGGAACGATCTCGGGTTTCAAGGTTCTACCCAACCCCCCCCCACCTAAAAACCCAGTCCCTATGGGGCGCGGATCAGGATTTCCGGGGTGAATGGCCAAACGGTGAGGTCTTGAAAATTCACGCCGTCCCTCGCTGCTATGTGACGACCAGGGTTGGTCACGCTGGATCCTAATCGGATCCGGTCCGGTCCGGTTCGAAATTTCCATCCGGTCCGTGGCGGAAGGAGGGGTTCTGATTTGCTAGGAGAAACGGAAATGCAACATGCAAATTCGGATTGCAAATGAGTGGCGTACGAAAAAATGACGCAATGTGGATCGCTTAAACAAAAATGTATAAAATTATTCATTCCCCATTGCTTTTTGGCGATATACGCGACGGATAGTTGCATAGATGTGGAAAAATATGTCAAATTCTTGGAGAGTAGTATTTTGCATACAAAATTTTTCATATCTGGCTTCTGAATCATGACCTTTTGTGTTCAGCCCGGACCGGACCGGTCCGAAATTCCCGGATCCACTCGGACCGATCCGGACCGGACCGGACCGCGGACCGTCCGCGGACCGGATCCTTTGTGACCAACCCTGGTGACGACCATATTTGGGTGGTTTTTCGAATTTTTTTTTTTTGGTAAAACTGGGTGCCAAAATGGACGCGTTTCCGAAAGGAGAAGCTGAGGACTGCCGGGTGCAATTTTTCATCAGATTTGGAAAGGTGGCACTCAAAACGGCTCGTTCCAAAATGAGAGAGAGAAATATAGGGAAGAGCAAGATCAGCGTTTTTTTATTAATTTTTTGCATCCCTGATAAACTTTCTGACATTTTTATGAACAGGAAACAATTTTTTCAGCGAATTTCCGGAATTTTTCTGCTTACGTGAATTTCAGAGCATTTTTTCTGACGCCACCTAATCCTTCAAGCACGCCCAAGGAAAACCCATTTCCGCGTCATAATTGAGGTCAGATTAAAAGCACAACCCTTGAACGACAAACCGTAGATCTTGATGTCGAACGTAGTGGACAACGGAGAGTATCGCAGCATTTCCACAGGTCCCAATCATAAACAAAAGGGCGTAGAAGGCGGCGATGGCCATCAGGGGCACGTTTGTGTGGTTGGTGTAGGGCAGGACATAGTGGACGGAGAACTGAAAAATGAAGCTGTTTCGGAAGCACGAATTTACCGAGACGGGGGTGTTAAACGCTTTTTAAAATAGTGAAACTCGCGTTATACCCGTTCCTCAAATTTTCGTGCACTTTAAAAGGTATAAAGTTTATTTTTCGCCTAATTCATGGTCACTTAAGATGCCGCAAAGATTGCTCTCGTCAGTGTACTATGTTGCGCGACACCGCAAACGCGTCGCAGATGCGTTGCGTATCTAGCATTTTCAAGCGGGAAAAGGGATTTTGCCTCTATCGGGGTCGCAGCACGCGACGTAACCGCCGCGACGCTCGGCCGTTAATAACGCGCCCTCGGTTCCGCATCTTATCTGGCGTCGCGGCCACGTTGCGTCGCTTTTTCTTGAAATCGAGAAATCTTCTGAAGATTCGCGCTCCCTAGCGAACGCAACGCGTATGCCTGACCCCGCCGCGGACGCCGCGCTGGCTATACAACAAATTCGGCTAGGGCATCAAACCGTGTGAGTTAAAGTATGCGCTGACTACCCCTTTAAAAAGACCAAGCTGGTCCCTACATCTTTCTTAAACTTCTAGCCGCGGGGGATCAGGCTAATAATAAGCCTCTCAAAGCCCTAGCTAGCTTACTCACCCCGGAATCCATAACCGCCAACAACTCCCTATTCCTTTCCCCCTATTATTATTTATTTTCCTCTCCCCGTTCCAGAATTTCTCATTCTTTTGGCCTTTACCCGCTAGGGGCTGAAAAGTTCTCCGTGTCCTGGTTGTGTGTTTGTCTGTCCTAGTCCCCACCCCAGAGGTGGGTCTTTGGAATTTCCAAGTCCCCGATACCTCCCCTTCATAATTGAGGGGGGGGGGGTGTATGAATGTGAAATGATGGTCTCTCTGTCTCTCTCTCTCTCTCTCTCTCTCTCTCTCTCTCTATGCCTCTCTCTTTCTCTTTCTCTCTCTTTGGCTTCTTGATTCGATGTGCATAGTTTCTGGGGGGTGTAGTGTCATTATCATTGGGGGATCGAATATTTCAGCGGCTAGAGGAAAGAGAAAGAGAGAGAGAGAGAGAGAGAGAGAGAGAGAGAGAGAAATTCTGACCCCCCAAGTGGGTGGCAAAATATTTGCGTTCAAAGCGCGTCACCATCAGAAGAGGTTGGTGAGCACGAGCAGCAATTTTCTGAGTGAGAAAGAGAGAGAGAGAGAGAGAGAGAGATAGATGGAGATAGACAGAGAGAGCGAGCAGCGCTGCATGTGGCTCGGCTATTAATTTTGGTGTTTTTGGTGCTCATCTAGGGGTTCCGGTGGATCAGTATTTGCTCCGAAAGGAGCATTTGAATGAAAAAGTGCTCAGAGACAAACAATTTGGATCTGCAAGTCTACAGACTAGAAAACGATAGACAGCGAGAGAGCGCGAGAGAAAGAAGGCCAGAGAGAGAGAGAGAGATAGCAAGTCAGTAAAACTTACATTATCGTAGTTCTGCTTTCCCTCCATCGCCCCTCCAACATCCCTTCCGAGATCTGCCATCCCATCGTATGAATGGCTCGGCAGTTCCGATTCTGACGATGTGGCCATTATCACATTGGCATCCGGGGGAAAGTGGTGGCTGAAACGAATGATTGATTGATAAACACTAATGGAAAACATTGGAAAAGGGTTGAGAGGAAGTGAATTTATACAAAAATCAAGAAACAACAAAAAAAATTGATTACCGCCCATTTCTGGCTTAAAATAGGATTGTAATTGTTCATTTAATTTAGCTAATAATAATCGAATGGATGATGTTTTTATTCATAAATCCCCGCCGGAATTTCGACCGGGAGCTACAAATTACGGTGGGTAATGCCCGGAAGCACTCGGAATATTTGAATTTCAGGCGCCATCGTTCTGCGACCACAAAATAACATTTTCGATAGTTGTACGGTACTACTATCTACTCGGCCACGACGCCATGCTCCAATTCGCACTCGCTAAACGGCAAAAATTGCCGTGTTATATCGTCGATCCGTGTCCGGCCATCCGCCCGTTTTTGCCGGTCATTATCAAAGACCGGGCTGTGTGCCCGATGGCAACGGCAAAATAACCCCTCATCCCCCCTCTTTCGTCTCCTTTTTGGCCAATTTGGCCGTCTACGGGGTGTTGTGCGGAATATTCCGATGCCGAGCCGGTGGGGGCTTCTCTTCTACGGGTTGTGTGGAACGGGGAGCAGAACGAAGGGACGGATGGGGTGGGTAAAAGGGGGAAAACATGAAAATGGATACCTTTTGATGTTAATTATTCTACGGGAGGGAATATTTATTATTCTACAATATAACAGGGAGAAAATGAGGGGTGGGGGTAAAAAACCTATACGTAAAAATAATAAGAATCGTGGCGAAAGTGTCGAAATACGTAAGCTCCCGAGTTCATTTTCTTGTTTTTTATCCCTATTTCTACCTCTTTCCCTTGCTCTCTCTCTCTCTCTGTCTCTCTCTCTCTCTTTCCCTCACTCTCTCTATCTCCCTCCCGCTCTCTCGCTGTTTCTCTTACTTCCGCTCTTTCGCTTTCTCTGGTACCAAATGATCAGTTAATCATGTAATTTTCCGTCTTCAAGACAGACGCGACGCAGCCGCAACGCGTCTACGTTCCGATTCGAATCCTTTCGCTTTACAGTCCTTTTGAGAACCCGACAACCAAAGACGCAAACAGAAAAATATTGAGGGTTCTTTCCCCTATTCTTTTTTTGCGCATCCCCTCGTCACCACACCCCAAAATAATTTGGCTTTTCCATCCCCTCGGAGCAGACGACCCGATTCTGTAGGCGGAATAATGGGAGGAGGCCCGCGCGAAAAAAAAAAAAACGTGAAAATTGAGAGATCTCGTGGCGGCTGGCCTTTAGGAGGGACAGTGAAAATTGGATTAGATCTGGAAATGGCAATGGGAGGGTGTGAGGAGAACAGTAAAATCAAGCGACAAAAAATAAGCAGAAAAAATATATAGGCAGGTAAACCAGCAGTGATTGTTTGAGAGATTTGCCACCTAAAGAATTAAACGGTAATTTTCGGAAACAAATATTGGCTCACAAAATGCCTGGACAGTTGATCCGCTGGGACTTGAAAATTGGGTTATTGAATGCACTTTACAAAACCGAAAATAAATATTTTAATTTGTTGTGAATTTCGTAAACTATTCAAAGGAAAACAATTGGTACACTTGAATAGAAAAAAATTTAAGGGGATTATTTGTTCACACAATCAAAAACTGAGAAATCATCTAGAGATATTGATCAAGAGCTAGAGAGAGAGAACGAGAGAGCACGAGAGAGAATGACATTGCCCTAGCAATACTTCCTGTATCTTTCTTAACAAAGCCGGCTGTAAAATCTGCACCCAGATCCCGTCTCTTCCCGGAAAATTTATTTGGGCAACATCAGCCCGCGGGTTTAGTCCTTATCCCCACCGTGAAGAGAATTGGGGAACCAAAGCTGTAATCACAAAATTGGTCGGATCAGATAGACCAAAACAGAGCAAAAGTGTCGGAGTGCCGTGGGGACGGTTAGGCGGATCCCACGGGGGGAAAGTCGCGCACTCGATGACGAACCGTTAGTTTTTTTGATGATGTTATAGACAAACACTAAAATTTTAGATCTTTAAGATGCGCTGGCCGGAAAGAGCCCAGTTAAATAGTTAAACAGAATTTTTGAAATTCGATGGTTTCCTTGAAACAGGGAAAAGCAGTTTTCGACTAAATGGTTTTATTTTTGCAAATAAAATGGAGAGAGGTAGAGCGAGCGAGAGGTAGAGCGAGCGAGAAAGAGAGAGAGAGAGAGAGAGAGAGAGCGAGAGAGAAAGAGAGAGGGGGCGAGAGAGATGGAAACAAACGAATTATGATGCTATACCGCCAATTTTTAAGTGCTTCTAGAGAATTTGGTGAAAATAGACAGGTGCCCGCTACCAACCTCAATCAACATTATCGAAATTCAATCAGTGAGCGGTAGGGGAAAATTCATCGATTTAACCAGCTGTTTTCCCCCGAGAGCAAATTTTTACTTCCGGGGTATGGCGGCTTGTGAATGGGATTAACAGACTTATCAGCTGGAATCAGAGTGTTCAGGTGTTTTGGAATTTGAGTGGAACGCCAGAAACAAACGCCTCGCCGGCCCAAACTCAAGAAAGTCAAATGTCAAATTCGGATAAAAAGGGAATCGAAGAAAAATTGATAGAAAATCCGAAAATCTTTCAATTTGAAAAATCGAAAATAATCAATTGCAAGGACTATTCAAGCCAAAAGTTCTAGAGACACGCCAAGAAAGTATCGAAAAATTCGTGTCTTTGGGTTTGACAATTCTGTGTTCTTCGTTAAACAGGTTATTTTGATGGCTTTCGAGCGACGATCAGAAAATTTATTCTTAAAAACACTAGAGAATTTTTTAGTATACAGGAAACCAGGGAAAATTTTGAATTCCAAAGAAATTTCCGCGGGAACAAGACTCTATTTCTCCCTAGAAACACTATAAAAACCATGATTCGGCGTGCGTGTTTTCCTGGTTTCTAAAGGTCCAGGGATCGTGGTAAGAGCGGTGTATGTGTGCGAAATGGAGACAATTCGTTTATAATGCAAGCCACGCCCCCTTCATTGCCGTGTTGGGTTGGGGAGGTGGTGGTGAAGGGGGAGGAGAAGCCCGAAAAAAGGGGGAATTCAAGGAGAGGGGTGTCCTGGTGTTGGTAGTCCAGTGCGACCGGAAAGGGAGGAGAACCCAGGTCGTTGAAAATTCTATTCTCATATTAGCATTTCTGAACGTGTATTTCATAATTCTTCACGACGGTGTTAACACGGGAATATTCATAAAAATGCTATAGATTCCTGCCGGATGGAACGGATTTTCAAGCCTTATGCTTGCTTTAAAGTTCAGGGTTTTAAAACTGATTTCGTAGTATCGGGAGGACAATTTTTAAGGATTAAATTTTTCTTAGTAACTAACAACTAACTTTGTCTTAAAAAATACAAGGAACCGACCGATTTTCGACGTTCTCTTATTGCATTTCCATAAGACCACAAACTGAGAATAATTTTTGAGCATCGCCACCTGGTACAACACCTTGATGAACCACGAATTAATTTGCACGTTCGCATGTTAATTTTATTGGGAGCTAGACGTATTGTGATCAGTACTACCGGGGGTATCATGAGAAGTTCTCAGGTCGATCGACAGGTTCCGGAAACGCAGTGTTTCATAAATTCGAGAATTAGAGGATGACCTCATAGGCGACAAAAACACCACAGAGAAAAGACATAGGAACACAGAGAGGGAGGGCGAGACAGAGAGACAGAGAGAGAGAGAGAGAGAGATCGAGAGAGAGAGAGAGAAAAGAAAATAGAGTGAGAGAGAGAATCTAGGAAACAGTAAAAGCACGAACACACCCATAATGGCCAAATTTTCGGGCTCGTTAATGGGCTTATAGCCTGGCACGCGTTGAGGTGGATACTACACAACAACGAATCCGGACGACGGCGAAGCCGTACTTTATTTTTTCGTAAAAACAAACGTCGAATTTTCAAATTTGACCGACTGGCGAGAACACAGGTTACACCGGGAAGAAGCCGTAGAAAAAACGGATATCCGGTACCAGATTTTTTAGGTCTTTGTGTACGGATCTTAGATGGCAACTGTTTTATAGTTTGTAGCCTTCATTAAAATCAGATAAATCCTCCAGGGAATTCTGCCTTCAAATTTCTGCAAGTCCACACGCAACTTGTCGTTTTTCGCATCCGAAATTGGTCTATTTTTTTGTTTTGCGAACCGCTGCGGTACTATTTACGTTTCCGGATTTATGTATTTCGGAGGGGATTAGCCCGTAGCATCCGCCTACGGCTACCGTAACCGCAAATCCTGATCAAAAGGTACGTCTCTTGTATCTATTGTGTTTTTCCTGGTTGCAGGACAAAATCTGACGGCGGCACTTCCTCGTCGAGCAAAAAGCAACGTCAAAGCAAAATATCATTAGAAAAATGGTAAAAAGGCAATTATAATATCAGTAAAGTGCGTTACAGTACCTTCCTGTAAGTGCCATGAAAGTGCTGTCGTATACGGTATCTACCCCAAAAACATAAAGCATTTCCACACTACATATTTCTAAAAGCCCAAACGCAAGTCAAGTCAAGTCTCCAAAAACATCGAGATCAAACATTTCATGGTGTGTACGCGCTGTCAACCTGCTAATTTTTTTTTGCACGTGGAAACCCGTGAAATTCATTAGTTTCGAAGCCCATGGGATGATTTAACAAAAATAAAGCATTTGCAATTGTTCCCAATTTGCAAACGCCTGCTTCGTCAGTGACTAATGCCCCCGTTTAAAATTACACTTTTTTGGAAGGGCCAATTCCCGAATTTAAAGGCGACTTCCGCATTGAGACCAGGGCACACAAATTCGGGAGCAAGAGAGAAAGAGAGAAAGAACAAGAAGTTCTCTGGTGGAATAAAAAGTGAGATGGGTCCTCTCTGGGTGCGCAAATGCCCCGATCGCACGTGTTCCGTTTTGGGAAAAGTTAGGCCAAAAAGGACGATGGGGTGGGGTCGAAAGTGGGTGTGGACACGC